AGGCCAAACCAGAGGCGACAGACACTCCAGAACAAGTCTTATGAGTTGATGATCATAACCAGGTTGAAAGCAGATGTTAAAATGGCTAACAACAGAGTATAAAAAAACTGGAGTAAAGGAGAAGAAATTTTGTCAAACAATTGAAAATTGCATTTGAACTAAACCCCCTGTGTAGTCAGCTGATCAAAGGTTTAAGACCATAGTCCTAACAAGCTCAAGTCTGTACTTTAACATCCTTTCTCATCAGGCATTTACCCTGTCATGATGGCAAATAGAAAAAAAAAAAAGCTTTTATATTTTTCCGCCTATCAGGATTGTTGAGATGTACAAGCAAGGCATTTTGCTTGTGCATGTGCTGAATAAAGTATCATTTGATTATTTTAAAAGAATCAGAGGGAGATTCCCCTGAATGTGGGGGTAGGGAGGTTCACTACTAAACCCACAAAATGCATTAAATCAGAAGATTTGACAGAGTTGAAGAAGCTCAATCATCAACCCATATTAAATGGTAAAGGGATTAGAGGTTAGGTTTAATTTCCAAGCATATTTTTCTTATCATAAGCATCATATACACATAAGAGCACTTTGGTATATTTTTTTGAGCCACACATAATCGGCAGTATCCAAAGACTGCCCCATCTCTTCTGCCATTTGAAACCAGGCAGCAAGTATATTAATAAGACAGACCCAGCACATGACTAACCTTGACCCCTAACCCTACTTTTAACTGTAAGTTGCGGTACTATAATGGTGGCACTGTTACTCCTTGTACTTCACTGCTCAGTTCTCCGTTTTCCAAGACTTTTGGCCAGTAGCTTCATGGAAGTTCCCCAAAATACACACACTGGCGTGATTGTGTGGGCGCCACCTCGGTGATTGCCTATTTAGTGAGTAATTATCCTTGTCTTTCCCACTCTCAGCCAACACAAGCACTGATTGAGTTCCACTCATTGTGGGTAAAGTCTTATTTATCATAAGAGCCCAGTGTGAGATTTGTAGAGAGAGAGAGAGAAAAAAAAAAACAAGAAAGCAAACAAACAGAAAACCAAAAAAAAAAAAGAGAAGGCATGGAGTGCAGTCATCTGCAGCTTTGGAAGATAAGAGCTACAAAAACAGAAGGTCAATATGAGTTTGGAATGGTTTGGCAAGAGGGAATGGAGTTTCAGTCTTTGATTTTGTCATGCTAATGATAACGTAACAAAAAAAAGTGAAAAGTTTTTATCAAATTAGAGAGGTCTTCTTGCTTAAACCTTCTTTAACTTATCACTATTGCAGGGGGCTGGAGGCTATCAGCAGCCACTGAAGTGGTACCTGGTGCACAAATGTGCATGTGCATGTGCATGTACGTATCCACATACATTCACATTTGTATGTATGCATCATAGAAATAAAAACAAGATCTGAACATTTGAATGTTGGCACTCTATGAACAAGGTCATAGTTTAAAAAGATTTGTTCCTATATCCGACCAAAAACAATGAACGTTGTAAAACTCACCCTATAATGAGAAACTGAAGAGCATTCCTGTAGACTTCACTGTCTCCCATGTTGTGTCCTCGCTCCTTCCCTACGAGTCCACAAAGCATTCTTCATTGTCCTCATCTTCAGCTGGAAACATGGAATGTTTTCCAAAGTAATGCAGTCGTTATCGTCTCGTTATTCTGCTTCAGCTTGTTCTGATTCAGAATCTGAAGTGAGTTTTGCGTAAGCTTTGGTTGAGAAGCACTGCCATAGCAACGCATTCAGCTTGGTCCATCTTTGTTCAGTAACAGAAACCCAACCAGGTGTCCTCATTAAATAGCATGAAGTACCTGCAGGTTTAAGTCGCCATGTGTTCCTTTCAGATGTCCACCTTATTGGCAGAAACCGACAAGAACAGTAAAATGAATAACCACGCAGACGGCATGTTAATCAGCTGTGCATTTCGCCACCCGGAACATTTTCTCTGCAAACAAGCTGAAATCAAACACTAAATTTATCATTTTAAGATTTTAAAGCATAGGGTGATTTCTTCATGACATCAGCTGAGATATAAGGCAAAAAAATAAAAGGAAATCACTGTTTTCTCAGAGATTTATGTTTTTCTGTTTGTGCCCTGGTGATTTGTTCCTGCTTTTTCCCTGGCTCATCACATTTAGATTGATGAATAAATGCAACATGCATGATTTTGGTCTGTTAACCTGGAGTACCCATAGAAAACCCATGCACAAGGAACACATGCTAGCAACACGCAAGAAGACACAAGCAAAGATTTGAAGAAAGTTATCTCTGTGTAGCAGTCAGCTTCTAACCTCAGCTTAAATTCAAACTGTTCCAGTAAAAATCTGGCTTCATTTACTCAGCACTGAGGCTTCAGTGAGGATTTTTCTATTCCTGACACAGTTTAGGTTGTCTGATAGTGCTTGAGCTCTAAAGCTAATCTGTTTCTTTGTGTTTATTGGTAAATCAAAGGTCTAATCAGCTGCAAAGCTGCTCAGGAGAAAAGAAGAGGACGAGAAGAGGAGCGGAGAGGAGGTATCAGCTATTTTTCAATCTAATGGCCAATTAAGATCAGGCTAAACGAGGAGGCAAAGGAGCATTGTCTTCTGCAGATCTCATTGAGGTTCTAATAAAACGTCAAAATGCCAGTGGTTTTCTTGCACGTGCATCGGCAAACACAGTTGCCGTGTCCCTTGATCACTTTGTCCAGGCCTTTCATTCAATTTGTTTCAGCTTTCCATTCCTGCTCTCTAATTTCTTGTTTTTTACTCTTCACCCTGTCATTTATTTTGCCAGAATACACAAACATTTACAGTCTCCACTCCCTCTTTTATGGCTTCTTCATCCTTTGCAGCCCGTTCCTGCACTCCCACACACTGGCTTTGTGCTCTAATCTCTCTTTTTTTTATTTAGAAGGGCAAAGACAGAGATTTGAGCTTCATACTGTATCAATTTTGCCCAGTGTAAATGACCTAAATAAGGAATTCAATACTGTGGGGTCTGAATAGGAGCGCTTAGTCCACATATTTATTGAATCCAGCCTTTTTGTCCAGTGCCAGTACGCTCTGTGGTTTTAGACTCCGTTCCAGTGATCCAACGTGGAATGGAAATCCGATCCGTCTCCCTCTTTTTCTCACTTTCTTGTTTCTGTTTTTCTTTCATCAAGCACATGCCTGGTGAGATGGAGATGAAGGGATGATTGTGGAGGGAGGAGAGATAAAATATATATAAGAAGTCAGTGAGGTTGTCTACACTGGTTGAGCCTATAAGCTATGACCAATCAGATCAATCTCTGCAAACAGAGATTATGTGACATCAGTTCATCTCACATTTTATGAAATATTTTTGCTCAGTTGTCTGCATTGGCACTAATCATGTTTTACTTCCAACATGCTTGATGGGATGGGATCAAATGAGGAAAAACTGTAATTCTGCAAAAGGACATACTCATAATATAAAATACATGTTTCATGTAATTTTAGAAATAATCTGTAATGTGTTGGACAACAAAAGAGGTGTGACTAATCATCAATGCTACACCCCATGGTTAAGAATTGCATCATCAACCATCTGAGGGTGAACTAGCACAGCACTTATGGTGTCCTGGTCAGAACAAACGTTGTTCTTGGCCTCAAGAGGGCAAACAAATCCACCAGCTCTTGAGGAGTATGTTAATGACTGGACACTATTTATCACTGAATACTGACCATTGGATTTTATATTCACTGTCTGGTGTGTAGTGTATAATCGTAGGCTTTGGTACTTGTGTATATTTTCATTTGCTAATCAATAATTGTTTTACTACCAGTTTATCTACCTTCTCATACTTCAAAAAATAGTGACTGGTGTTCCTCTCACATGCTTTAATTCATGCAACAACCCATCTAACCATTTAAAACCGGATTGAAAGAAGCTTGGACATATTCTTTTTGTTTGGCAAAATAAAAACTAGTGAAATTTCACTGAAACTTGACTGCTCCTCTACAAGAGAGCACAAATCTTTTAAAATTCACATGTTACATGTAACATTTTGTAAAATTTTAGCTTTGAAAGACAGAAAAAGCATTAGTGAAGCAAGTTTTAAGTTTCTGTTGGTTGTGAGAATGCACTCTGGTGTCTATTTTATGGGTTTTGAGAGGCTCCGCCAACTCATTTCATCACTTGATAAAAATATTCAAGTAAGCAAAACCTGAGGCGCCTCAGTAGCAGAGTTAGTTGCACAAAATTGCATGAAGGTTTTCATCCTTGTCCTTTGTGTGTGTTTGTGGTTTGGGGGTGTGGATGTGTGACCTTTTTAAGAACCAGCCACACAGCTAAACGCACTCCCTTTGTGCCTGTCATTTACAGGTTGGCTATTGACGTTTTACAGTTTAAACTCGGGGGGTCGGAGAGAGCATGCTAGCATCATACACAAGGTCTCCCACAAAACTTGTTTATCTACAGACCAGCTTTTCAGATCTTATGGACATGAAGAGGACCAGCAAAGACTGGTGTGCTAACTCTGTGTATTAGCGCACCTTCTTCCATGTGGAACCTATTTCTGCCGAAATGCTGTCAAAGATTACGAAGCAAGTACATCCCTACATTGTCGGTGATGGACATGGGTTCAAAAGCAAAGCTCCTTCCTGCTTCCACACATTTGCTTTTGGTAGATTTTGGGGGCCGGAAAGTCACACACCCATTCCGAATCAATAGCTGCATTTATTTCATCAAAGCCTGTTTAATCACATCTGCTGGCAGGCTTGCACATTGGAAAAGCAAGCGGACAGCTGATCCCTGCTGTGGCTACAGGCTACTTGGATGTCCCAGTGTGACTGCTGCCACGTACTTTCGCCTTTCAACGGAGGTTAACACGTAAAACATCTCTCCCCTCTCCCGGTCAACTTCTCTGCCTGCCAGCACCACCTTTGATTCAGAGCGATCGTGAAATGTACGCCCACATAGGGTGGATTGTTAGAATAGCTTTGGGGGGTAATTTTGCGACGGAGAACTCACATATGCTCTTTATCACAGCGAGTGAAAATGAGAAAGGAAGGAGAAGGCTACTGTCAGCTGTCTGGCGCTGTTGGAGAAAGCAAGATGGACTTACTGTGACAGGTCAGTGTACAACACTAAAGGCTTTCATAGGCTAAACATTTACATTCATTGCTTTTAATGGCCATCAGGGGTAAATTTAGCAATCTTCTGAAATATTTCTAAACTATTGATGAAAAAAGTTTGTCCTCTGATAGACTGGCAGGCTTTAAGGGCATGCCGGCATAACGCCAAAAGACGAAAATGGAAGATATAAAAAATAAAATATAAAGAAAAAAATATATTTTTCAATTTCTTTAAATTTACTTCAAATCAATGACTACACATTTAATGCCTTAAATGTAAAATGTGTGTGTCTGCTTACTGTAAATAATTCAATTGCTTCTTTTGTTATTACTGATAAAATTTTTTGTGAAAAAGTTGCACAACAATTAAAAACAAAACATGAACAAACTTTATGATTTAAGAAGAAGCACTCAGGGTTTTACAAAAAGCGTGAGTTTAATTGTGTTTTTCCTTATTGATATGATTTGAAAAATGAAAATGCTAAGAAGAAACTTTGGATTCACAAATGTTCTCCTTAGAAACTTTGTGAGTCCATTCTATGAATTGGATAGATGAAACTATATAATTCATGGATGGGATTGAACACAATCTGTTTGGATCCCAAAAAAACCTTAAATTTTCCAAATATCCTTCTTCATGCATTAGATTATTTCAAGTTGCAGATTTACTTGATTTCATGAATTACTTTCTGTTCTCCAACTAAAAAATGTCATAGGTGACATGATCCTTGTTTTTTGTTAAATACTTGCAGGTGTATGTTGTATAATCATTCAGCATTGGAAAAGAAGAGCTCAAATTAATCCTTAAAAGCCCTAAATTGATATGACATTCATGCCTACGATGAGTCTGTGTAAACTTCTGACCGGAACTGTAGCTTCAGATTAACAGCTCTTTTTGGAAGAGTTCCCTCCAAAATTGAACCATTTAATAAGAAAACAAAACAGAAAAGAAGCAGACCTGTTTTTCCCAGATAAGACAATTTCTTCAGGCTATTTTTGACAAAAGACGCTGTAATACAAAAGCAGAAACACAAAATGGCTCAATTCCATGAAGCTGTTTGTTTTGCAGGGTGCTGTTACCTTGTATAAAAAGCTCAGTGTCACTGTGACTTGCTGGGATTCAGGAATAGAAAAGAGCCATTGTTAATGTTCTTACACCTGGGCTGCTCTCACTGCTCTGTAAATTAAATACTGATGTGAAAATTGGACCATTCAAGTAGGGATAGAAGTCTGAACAAAATGTCTGATTAACTGACCAATAGATTTTTTTTAATAAAAAAAAAAAGAGCTTAACTTTAAAGTATAAACTCAGCATAAAAATTACTTCTGGACAAATCTCTCCAAAAGAATCTGTAACACATTATTTTAAAGAAGAGGCTCAAATTGTCAAATGAGCAATTTGAACCCGCTGGGATTTATAATAATATGTAATTAGACACCTACATAAACACGAAATCTACACAAAGGCAATAATATTACAACAGAATAACTCACAAAACAGATTGATTGCACTAAACAATCAAAGGGATTCAATACAATATGCGGTTCAGTCTTAATAAACTTCCAGATTTTGTGTGTTTTTCCATGGAATGTAAATTAAAAATATAAATTATTTCAGAGTTAGTGGTTTATTAAATCGCTCCTTAGGCGTAGGCAAAATAAATGCCATAGGGCAACAAGAAATTCACATTTCTGGATGTAAAGTCATCAATCAATTAATTGCAGTTTCAGATTCAATAACATATAACCATGTGTGATTCTTTGAGGTTTGCCAGGAATTTCTTACTCAATAAGGTGGCCACCATGTCCAACGAGCTAAAAAAAAAAACACCATCAGGCTCTGTGCCTCATGAGGATGTATTTTAGCAAAATCAGCTTTATCCTGCAGATACCTTGATTCTTTTTTCTTCTTGCAGCTTTATTACAATACCATCAGAAAAAGCAATATCCGTACAAGAAAATGGTGACCCACAAGTTTTACATGAACAGACATCCATCTAATGATGAATGAACCATCTCTATGAAAATGGAACAAGCTGCAGCTGCTCAGAATAACTGTGAAGAGCTGCAAAAAGTTATTGAATATGCCTCTGATTTTACATTTATAAATATAGGGCATTTATGCACTGGCTGTGAAAAAAAATGATTACAGTTGTTTGCTTTGTCAAAGACTTTTATTTTTCATCTGTTACTCTTCAGTAAGAAGTCAGATTGAAAGTTTCATAAAGGGTATTGTAGTAGCAGCACACTTTGGAGGGAAATTTACATCATGTCAGACGCAATAAAAGCCCACTCAAAAACAAAGGGTCCAGTAAGCGGGTAAAATGTGTGTGTATTCACTTGTGTATGTATCTGGGATTCTGCTCCCATTTCACAGGTTCATATGGCTCTCCATAGCAGATATGGTAATGCAAGATTAAGGAGAACTCTCTGGGCCAGGATCCAAGATTATGCTGACAAGGCACTGGCTGCATTTTAAAACTTGAAGTATGTCAAAGAAAAGCTGCTTCCTCCTTGAGCAGCTACTGTCAAGGTGCCCTTCAGCAAGGCTTTGATCCGACTCTTACACTGGCAGATCGAAACATCTTAACGATACCAACTCAAAGAGGAGGTAAGTGTATAAAGAGTCAGTTTAGCTAAATCACAAAATAGTAAATTTTCTCACTGGAGAGTAATAGCCATGGAGACTTCTTGTTTTAAAGATCAGAGCGGCATGAGTTTGAAATTGCCCGTGGCTAATTTTGTTTTTGTGAATAAGACATTCACTCTTTCCTAAAAGTTGCCACTGTTTTCAACAGGGTTGGTTTATTCTAAGAAACAGAGTTTTGAAGGCTACAGCCATGTGAGAAACTTTCAACAATGTAACAGAAAGCATTTGAATTTAGGGGAAGAATATTTTTTAAGAACTCAGAAAAGCTAATTTTTGCAGCTTCCACAGGATTACAAATGAAGAGTACCAGCTCTTCTTCAAAACCATCATCATTTCTGTTAAGACATGAGATTTGGCACCTTTCTGATCAAGAGCTTACAGGTGTATATTAACTAAATGCGATGGTGGAAATTTTGCAGAATTAAATTTTATTCACCACTAATTTTTTTTTAAATCTCAGATTTAATCATCAGATTTTTTTTTTTTTTTTTTTCCTTAAATAAACTCAAGTACATTCACACTTCTCAAACTGGGAAATCATGAATGCCAGGCTAACATTTGCCAAAAACAACATAGATATAGACCAAGACTATTGAAATAAGGTCTGGTGTGTGGAGATCTCATGCCAACTGGCAAGCAAGGAGTTGTAAGGTTGATGGTTTGGGCTTGTCTTTCAACCAGACAACCTGGACACCTTGCAGTCAATGAGTAAACTGTGAATGTCTCTGTACTCCAGAGTCAGATGTGAGGCCATCTGTTCAACAGCTGAAGCTTGGCCCAAAATGTGTCATCAACAGGACAATAATCTCCCAAAAAGCTGCAAGTAGCCATTATAACAGCCAAATAACCTTTTAATGGTCACACTCATGTCTAATTTAGCCACACACGCAGAACAGAAAGATAAAAACACGCAACAAAATAATGTCATGGCATTCATATTTATGAGGAAAACTATTATTTGCTCTTCATGCTTGCTTTTGATGCCATTTTTAGTTGCTTTAATATCCCGCTGCTTGCCACAAATAATGCTGGATTATGTCCAGAACACAGAGGCTAATTGAGATGTGAGATTCGCAACATCGAGCAGTAGATGAGAATGCATAATGAGAAACGGAGCTGGGTTGTACACTAAATATATTGACATAGGTGAGGCTTCAGATCACGCTGAATATGCGCCGAGTCTTCTCTTCATCTGCTTGCTTCCCACACATGTACACACTCACCTACACCCACAACACACAGGTGCACATGGCCAACGACCAAGCTCAGGAATGGACGGAAACACAAGTATGCGCATTCACACGCTCTATATAAATGTACAGAGATTGGGACGCATACAGAACCATACGAAGGCTTCACAATCATAATAAAAACACACACACACACACAAACAAACACAAGCGCAGGTCAGAGAGTCCCGGTGGTGGAGAAACTGGCAGGCTTCCTTCCACTGGGCTCAAACAATCTGGGAGGCTTTTCTTTACCACACTGCCAAAGGCTGCATGCATACACGCACACACACACACGCACACACACACACACGCTTCTCACTGATTCCTTTCTCCTCTCCAATCATCCATTATTCTAAGCCCTCACAGGCATTGAGGACAATGAGAAGTTGAATGGGAGAAAGTGAAGCTAATTTGTGGACATGTGCTTTGTTATTGTTTCAATAAAAAATTCCCAATGAACATGACAATTACATAAGTACAACAAAGAGGCTTTTGGCAAGGCATCCCATCATGCATCTTCTGTACAGATGTCCCTTCAGATATTCTGTGATGGATCATTAGCAAAACATCTAAATATATATCAAGAAGTTGCTGGTGATTCTTCATCATCGGGGGTTGAAAGGTCGTAACTGTAAAATAGGACTGGGATTTAAACTTTGTGAAGAATTTTACGAAAGGAAAGAAAAATATTGATTTCTGTCTGACATGCAGGGGGACTGGATTTTAAAATAAAAAGGTTACACTAAATTTGTGCATGATTAAGAACTTCATTCCCGAAATGTTCTGTCAGTACATACATTGTACTTTGATAAAGTGTCCATACCACTTGAAATGTTAAAAAGTGCTGCGAACAGTTATTCTGTCTGCAGCACCTCCGGACACATCTGGGGGCTCCTGGCTTCTTCTGTGATTTGTGATGTTATCGGCCAAGCTGTCTGTTTCCGTTAGCAAGTCTTGGTTGGTTTACAGTTGTGCTGTACTGTCTCCATTTTCAGATGGTGGACCCTGATGAAGGAGACGGATGTTTTTTAGTTCCTTGTGATTTCATTCACACACTCACTGCCAATCTGCAAGTGGCATTCTTGCAATTTTAGATAGTAATATTTTGGTCTGATGAGTTCATGAACTCAAGATTATTATTATTTTTTTTATCTATTCCTTATTTGTTCAATTTTTAAAGCTGGACAATACAAAATAAGAAGTGATAATATTTTAGCAGCTCGTTTTTAGTGGATTTGTTCACACATTTACAGGTAGCACCTCTGTCCAGACAACTCAGGCTGCATTAAATGGACCATCATACACCAGCAAAAAGGAGCATGCATATAAATCTAGCAAAAGCGTAAAACAGCATAGTAAAAAGTAAAAAAAGTTCAACTCACTTGCATTTTCCTCACAAAGATTTAAGTATCAATACGTAAGTTTTCCAGTGGTACAAGATTTTTAACCAAGAAGCACAGTTACAAAAAATAACCAGTCAACCATCACAAATTATTGTTGTGTTAAGTTTTGCCTGAGAGTCAAAATCTTTTTATTAATTCAGTAAACTCTGAGTTTGCTATTATTTACAGTTGCAACACAAAGTGTCAGGTATAATCATAAAGTCAGTTTACAGCTTCACTTTCCAACTTATCTTTGACCTTTCATAATTAGTATTTTATGGTTCAACGGTAATTATAACACAAATCTTAGGTTTTCTGTCTCTCTGGTTTGCCTTCAAATTAACCCCACCAATTTTCTGACAGCTCAAATGTCTTGTTTGTGCCGTCATAACTGTTTCACCAATTAGTCCCCTTTGCTAGGGATGCATCTGTCGAATAATTAGTTTAAGAAACTACAAAAATACCTTTTGATACCAGTCTGTAATCAGTCTCTATTAACTGGACGTCATAACTGGGAGGCACAAAGAGGCATCGTGGGTCATGAAATTAAAACCTACAACTTTAGCAAGTCTCGTGTCTGACCCACATTCACTCAGATTGGGTCATTTGCACCGTTCTTAACCATCCTTTTCCCTTCTACACACACACACACACACACACACACACACACACACTAAAACAAAGTAACAGTATTTTGGGCCTAGCAGCTCTTGGCATCCACTTCATGGTTTTGGCTTTTTCTCTTGCACTGTGACACTCACACACACACACACACACACACACACAAATACACAAGCATGCATGCTCTCCTCTCCCATGCTCTAAGATCCTGCTCATCAGCCTTTATTGTCCCAATCAAAGCCTTGCCTCCCTGACCGCTTTCAATATTCAACACTGCAAGATGGTACATGAGCCGTTTGTCTCACTCTACACAGCCGGCTAAAGGAGGACACGACGTGTGTATGTGTGTGGGTTTTGTGTTCGCAGGCACGTACCCTTCCACACAAAGTGAAACTGGATAGCTGCGAGTTGCCCCTGACACCAAACTTAATTCTCCGAAGCGAAGCTGGGGATAAATATTTCAAGGTCATTCTGTTTGCTCTCTGTTGTCTTGTTCCGGGAGCACTGACTATAATAGGAATATATGCATGCCTAACTAGGGACTTTAGAACAGAATGACACCGCCTGCTGCTCGCTCTCTGCCTATCGGCACAGGCCAAGAGATGAAAGATGACTGACAGAAACACTGCAGTGGACATATAGAACCATGCGTCTTCATCTGTATGGTCTAGGGAAACATCTCTCCTGAAGTGCTTCTTTAATCTTTTTTAATGCTGCTTTAATCAGGCCTTTGCTGTAAGGAGCTGGCTTGGTTTGCCAGTCTCTTTAAACAGGAATCTTAAGTTACTCCTCAAACTGAATCGTCCATCACAACAGAATCTTGGACCTGGAAGGTAACCAATGCATCTCTCAGAGGCAATGTCGCTTTTCTATAATAACTGTTGTTTGATTTGAATGGCAAGGCCAGAGTATCATGTTTATTATCATGTTTATTACAGGACAACTAGAGGTTATACATGTATTAACTTGTCATAAGAACATCTTCCATGCGGTAAGGAATTGGGGTCAGCAACCTGCTAGCTCCTGGGAATGGTGAGTTCACTGAACAGAAAATGCGTTCTGATTCTTGTAAATTCAGCAAATTTATGCTTGTAATTTAGAACAGTTAAATCAAACATAGTGAAGTTAGCAGACAAATCCTGCCTTGTAATGGATAGCCTGCTACTTTAAAGTCTTTTCATTAATGAGACTGATTTGTTTTTCTAAGGTCTTATTTCTGTTTAAAATAGATGAAAATAGATGGCATTTAGAATCTGTATATTTTGCCTTTTGTACCATAAGTGTATGAAATTCTGACCCAAAAACCAAGGCTGCAACAAACTACGACTGTTGTGTACTCCTTAAAGCCCTCATTTCAGGACCATCTACCTATTTGTAGACACAAATCATGAAGTTCTGCAATTTGCAGATTGTGTGCTATGTATAAGCCATAGTTGGATTTTTAATCCTTATTTGACACGTCTCCAAATAGCCTCATTTGAAGTAAATACAACTGAATCAGCTTGAAGCTAAATTATCTCATCAGTGTACTTCTGAAAGTGTTTCACATTTCCTTTTAGAGGTTTGAGAAAGGCAAAGGGGGCAGGAGACACTAACGAAGCGTGGTCAAAGTGCGAGCGAGGAGAGACTTTTCTTCTTGGCGATAGATGCAAAGTAATGAAGTTGACACCAGTGTCTACCCCATTAAGCCGAGCCTGCATGGACCATTACAGGCAGGGTTAGAGGACAGCCCAGAGCCACAGGACCCATCGAAATACACACACACGCATCTAAAAAACAAGGTGGTTTACACACATGCTTGGATGAAAATGTTGAAAATGTCCTCCCATAGCTTTCATTCCTCAGGGGTTTGTCTATACCTACACACAAGCTAAGTACTACTTGTGTCTCTTTGTAAATTCCTCTGTACAGGAAGATAAGCAAGAAACAAAGTAAAGTCCTGCTCATTCTTCTTTCACGTACAGAAATATAGAAATGTTCAGCCTAAAGCACAGTGTCTTGTAGTGCATTACCCCTTGACAATTTTACCCCATATTTGGTTGTGTTGTAAACACAAACCCTAATGTAATTTGAGTATTTGCATGTTAGAGCAACACAGGAGGGTGAATACTGCAATTCTGATGTGGAAATAAAAT